GTGTAAAAACATTTTATTTTGATTAAAATTCTGAATGTTATAAGAAATTTTAAACTATATATAATATTTAAAAGAACATAAAATATTTTTTTATCTAATTAAATTATAATAAATTTTGTAAATTAAACTTCCAAACAATGTATATATAAAATTTTACAGTACTATAAAATTATTTATATTAATTTAATATTTAATATTTAGTAATTTTTGGTTTCTGACTGTGATTCTAACTAAATGCAAATTATCATTATTTCACATTATAAACTGAATTTAGAACTTTCGAATTATTTAGAAAATTAAAATATTAAAAAAATTTTTGCATTTTTCAAATTATTTTAATTAGCTTGATCTTTAATAATAGTTTCTCAAAAATAATTATTTCTAAAATATATTATATGTAATTTCGTTTGTTTTTATTAGAATATGATTGTAACATATTTGAAATTAATTATGTAAGTAGGTAGTAAATAAATAATTACAGAAATATATCCGTCAAATATAATTCAAACAACAGGATTCAAATAATAATAAATTAATTAACATTTATAACACTATCTTGTTTACATGAATAAAATTTTTATAATCAGAAATATCATTTATGATAAATAAAATTTATATAATATGGCAGCTGATGAGTTATCATTACAAGTGAAATAAAAATATTCAATATTATTCAGTTTTAAAAATAAATATATTGATAAATTTAAATGAAATTACAGATGATGTGAAAATGTTTGCTCTTATTTTTTATGTATAAGAAATGGATATAAATCTTTGGAAAGAAAAGTTTAATGTATAATTGAAATGATATAATTGAATATTGCAATTTTTAAATTTTGTTCTAAAGCTTATCTTTGTAAATATAAGGTGATGTGCTATAGAAGAAAAAATCTGGGAGTGACAGATTGGGTGGCCATATTTTTTTTACAAATTATTCTGTTTCAAAGTGTCACAAAGTAACTACATAGAACATTACTGCAATATACAGTATGCTGTTGCATTTCTATTTTGAAAATACACTTTCTTTATTTCATTCTCACAGTTCTGAAATCTTACAATCTTTCACTTTAGCAGTGAAAAATTTTAAGATTTTAGAATCATGTCATTCATGGTCATTTAGACTCATTTATAAATAAGCACATTATGGAAGTATTTTCTAATACACTGTACTTGCAGTATTTATTTATTTTATAGTAATAGTAACACTTCTATTATTGATACATTAAAAAAAAAATTTGAAATAGTATGAATAGTCCTATTACTCTACTGCATGTAAATGTTTTGTCTGCTAAATCTAGGTTTAATTGTATTGGGTAATTTGTATCCTTATAGTTCATCTACTTTTGTTTTTTTACTTATTTTTTCTTTTTTTACAAATCTACTACTAATTGTTTTATCTATTTCTAAGTTTGCCAATGATCTTTTGATAATGTTTATGAAGTCCTTATACTTAACTTAAATTGTGTTTCTGCAACATATTTGCATTTCAATGCATTTTCATTTTGGATATTTAAATTATTAAAATCTAAATATATGCTAAATGAAACCAACCATCTTTAATTCAATAATTTACAGAAAAATTAAATAAATCAAATTAAAAACTAGTTTTTTTAATACCAAATACAAATTACATTTAAAATTTCATTACTTTTCTGTAAAAATGATAATTTTTCCTAAAATGTGAATCTTTTACCATTTGCTTTTAATAATGAATCGTCACTTGTATTTATATAATTATATTTAAGTTTGTTTCATAAAATGATAAAAATTATATTTTTATTAGAACTAATAAAAATATAATTTTTATTAGTTCTAATAATCTTCACTCGATTTCTTCTCTTATGATAGGCCTGGCCTTTGTTCTACATCTTCCTTTTCTTCTTGTCTTAGCTTTACTTTCACTTTTGCTTCATCCTATCTTTCTTTTTTCTATTTTCCTATTTTCCTATTCCTGCTGATCACTGGCATTTTATACTCTGTCATCTGTTTTCTAAGAAAATTTCTTACATTCTTTATGCCAAGAGCTACTTCAGCATCTGGAAACAGATCATTTAAATTTTCATCTAACTGTTGCTCTAGAGCAGAGGTCAGCAATTGGTGGTCTGTGGACCATTGATGATCCATGAGAAAATTTGGGTGGTCCATGAAGAAATTTGGACATTGATCAACTGAAGGTTATTTGAAGTATTACGAGAGAACTTCAAAATGCTTAGTTGCTTTTTTCACTCATTGGAGGTTTTTATTCAGATCTAAAACCAAATACAAAGTGACTGTTATTAATAAATAATGAACAATAAACAATATTGTGAGTGCAATTGTTGTCCTTTGTGGAAAAGCACTAAAAATCCATAAACTTATTTCAAACAGGCAGTAATGAACTTTAGGGTTGCATTAATTTGTTATAATTAAACACACGAGTTTCATATTAATATAGTAAAATTGAACTTTTATGATTATTATTCTACAGATTTTGTATTGTTTAAAAATATTCATGATAGTGGTCCATGGGATTCAAAATTGTGAGTTTAGTGGTCCGTGAGGTCAGAAAAGTTGCCGACCGCTGCTCTAGAGGATTGTCTTTTCCATATGAAGAGAATCTCCTTCCATTTTGTAATTAATCCAATAATATTGGAATCATTAGTTTTTTTATTTACTCAAATTTTATACAATGGAAGTTTTATTTACAAAATCTAATTTTTGTCAATTTTTTATTTTACTATTTTGTATACTCATATTAATATTTATTTTTTAGCTCCAATCATCTTTTTATCCAATCATTTCACATTTAGAAGTAATGAATTCTACATTATTAAAAGATTTTGTGTCTGAAGAAATTGAAGAAGCAAGTGATGATTTGAAGGTAATTATATATTTTAAAAAGTAGTATTTGTTTAATGTTAAATTCAACTTTTTTCTATATTATAGATATACATTCCAGAAGCCCAGTTTGATTGGTCTAGTAGTGGACTTGTAAATCCTTTGGAAGATGAAATATGTTTAATTGATATTAGAGGTGTGTGATGGATTTATTTAACATAGTGTACATTTTGAATGATGCATTTATTTATTTGATATGACAGAAACTAAATTAATTTTAGGATTTGATGTAACAATAAATGATATTATGGAAACAGAACAAAAGTCACAGATTCATTTTTCTAAGCTTCCAGACTTATCCTTTATGCAAGCTAAATCATTAATATTTCCTTATAAAAAAAATTTATCATTACAATGAAAGGTATTTACATTTAAAATTTATATTATTTAATATATAGTATTGAAATTTAATGTGTTTTAATTTTTAAAAATATTGCAAACAGTGACTAAATTGTATTAATTCAAATATTCATTCCAAAAATATTTCTAATTTTACGGAATGACATTTGTACAGTTTAATGGAATCCATCATTTTTTAAAATGAAATATACATGCAATACAGTGTTTTGACTTATCATTTCAAATATGCCCAGTTTTGATGTCTAAGCAATACATACAGTATTGTTTACGTATACAAGTTTAAGCCTATGTGTAAAAACATTTTTTGGAGAGGTTTGTGATCATGCAATTCACTTGTGCACAGAAGCAATTTTTTAACAGGACTCTAATATATCTATTTTGTCTAATATATTGGAGTCCTAAATCTAGGTACAAAGTTATATAAAATTACTATTTAACATATTTTTGTGAAAAAATTTGATAATTCTCTGAATGAAAGCTTTTTTGCCTGAAGACATTGAGAAAAAATAACTTTGTTTCAGAACTTTTCATATCTTTATTAATAATCCTGAATCTTTTCAATCATCAGTTAATATACTTTGATAACCTTGTTTCTTGATTTCCAATATTATTCATTCTGCTAACAAAGATTGTCTCATTGCTGTTTTTATCAACTTTGAAATCTGTTTTTCATGATCTGTGATGAGATGTTTCCAGTGCCATCAACATATTTTTGTGGTTATTCTTTTCTTGGAGATAATTAATAACAACTCAATTTCCAGACAGAATTATCATTAATCATTTCCAACAAAATTTTTTAGCTTTGGTTCTTTTTAGATATGATCAACTTTCAAAATCTGTTTAAAAATAAATAAAATGAATAAAACTACAGTAGAACCCCTCTAGTCTGCCCTCGGCTAGTCTGTCACTCCGGTTAATCCAACCGTGGTTGGAGTCGAGAAACTTGTCTTGACTCGTCGGTGACTCACCATCCGGGGCATTTTTCTGTGTTCGTTACAGTATATGTTTTACATTGTGTGTACATGTACAGTTTTGTGTGTGTTTTCAACATGTCAGGAGTGAAACGTAAACACATTACTCTTTCATTAAATGAAAAATTAGCAGTGCTATAAAGACTGGACAAAGGGGAAGATTGTTTATTTTACTTTTTTCTGATAATTCGACCTTTTTTGCATTCCGATTATACCCCCAGTCCCAAAGGTGACAGATTAGAGGGGTTCTACTGTAAAACACCTAAAGATATATTTATTATTCAATAGAAAACTTATCATTTTAGCCTTTTTCTTTCATGGTCAAGTCTTGAGTCTTTGAGGCAGTTTGAGTATGTTTGTGTGCGTATGTAATAATAATAATAATAATAATGAAAATAAAAATTGTTACTTTATTGTAGAAAACTAATAAGCAATCTTTTCTTGTAGATGACCTTCATGTTCTATTATACTTGATATACAAAACAAGATTACAGTCATTATTTACATCAAAGAAATCAGAATATTTTTGAGAAATAATTTCATCTGGAAGGAAATTATGGCATGTGTCTTGAACTCATAATAATTAAATCTTAATCATATCAAATCTTAATTATATCGGGCAAATAATATTACTACTTTTGTCTACTGATATGTTAGTGAGGTTTTACTTGTTTTAGCAAATATATAATGCAATGGAAGTTAACTATATTGTCTATCTTTGATATAAAAAAATGTAATTGTAAGCATGAGATAATCATTTGAAATTTTGGTCATTTCAGCTAAATGATTAAAATATAGAGGAGAAGGTGGTATTATGGAACACTGCGGGTATTATGGAACCACCCCATTTTGAACTGATAATAAAGGCGAACTGTAGCGGAATGTGGCTGAACTGAACTAGGCAGACATCCATAGCAAGGGGAAAACCCGTTTTACTTCAGTTAAACAGTTGTCCGTATTTACTCAGCAAATTTGTTTTTTTCAAAATTCACAAGTTTTGAATGCTAAGTGAATTTAATTATTTTTAAAATATAAATCATATAGTTGTAGGTTCACTGGTGCATGTATTCCGTTCCAGAGACTTAGGGGTACATATTAATCTGTGTGATGTTCACGTTTTTTAAATTTTTGTCTCGACAGACATAAGTTAATTCGAGATGGCGATGCGTGAAATATGGACCCCATTGGTGCTTTTACAGTAATATAGAACTCAACTCCTCCGAACTCTCTCTTTGCAAGCAGACATTCGTCTGGAGCAATTTGTGAAAAAGACACTAGGTAGAAAGCCAATTCTTCCCGAGAATATCGAAAAAGAGCTGCTGGAATATATATTGTTGATGGAGGTCATATTTTTCTATTATAAAAGCATTTTTGCGATAAAATACATTGGAGTAAATAATTTGGTAATTATTTAACATTTTTTGTACTTTCCTATTTGTTTTTGGCTACATTAAAGCATTTTTTTGAAAATATACAGTAAGGTTCCATATTACCACCCGATTTTCTCTAAGCCTACTTTTGGACTTTTTGTACAGAAGCATTCAAAAACCATACTTATAATTACACTAGCGAAAAATCCAATTAGGAACATTTAGATTACTAGTTATCAGTACTTTTCGCACAAAAAATATAGGTGTAGTTATGATACCTTGTTTACAATTCACTAAAATGTAATTGGGGTTCCATAATACCACCTTCTCCTCTACAGATGGTCTCTTTAATAAGATAGTTCACTCTAATGTAATTAATATATAGAGCATCTACTTATATTAAGTTATTAGTATATGTTTTACATAATTCTTCAACATTAATTTGTTAACAATGTAAATAGTATTTTTTTTTACACTGTTAAGCAGAGTTAATATGCTAATTTCTTTCTATAATACACAATCAAAAAATAATGTTAACATGATTCAGTTTAATTTTAATTTACTTAATAGAATTTTATTATCGTATAAATTAAAATTCAATTACATTCAAATATTTTTAGAATATATGTATACATATTCTTAATTTGTGAAAAATCCTTACATATCTTCAAATATAAAATATTTCATTAAATTAACTAATAAAAATAATTTTATTAATTGATAAAATTAATATAAATCATAATAAAAATGCATAAGTATTGATTTAAGAAAGTTAAAATTATGTTTTAAAAATAATAAAATATATTTACTTTACTATCCTAAATTTTTATAAAGTTTTAAATGTTAATGTTAATTAAAGTTTTAATGCTAAAATATTACTTATTATTTAATCTATTTTTATATTCTTCCTTAATATATACAGTATGCATACATATATTAACTATGCACAATACTGCATTTTATAAACAGATAATTCTTTAATAAGCAGAATTCTGATAATTCAGTTTGGGCTAAGTAAAAATATTAATTAATTTAACAGTTTTCAATTTTATAAATGGCAAAACTTATTTTAATATAAAAAAATATTTGCTTAATAATTCGTTTAAAACTACAAATATATTAATTCTCAAAAATAACATTATAGACAGAAATGCTATATAAATCACACAAGTAAAAAGATCTTGATTTAGATAATATATTTGTCTCAAGAAGTAAAATATTTTATGAAAGATTCTAAATAAGATATATGAATAATAATTTTATTTATATTTAAAATTTTTAGCATTAATTTTCATTTATAAATCAAAATTTATAACAGCAAAACTAAATTTAATGAATTTGAACAAATGATGTTCTATGCTATTAAATTTTTGATTAAAATAATTTTTTTATTTTATTTAAAAATAAGTACTGTATATTTTTAAATTATTTTATATTTAGTTGTTATATAAAGTAGTAGTATTATTTCTTACACCATTTTTTTTCAGTATATATTAACCATCAAGTATTATTTATTAAATTTTGATTCCATTCAATCACTATTTAATGCAATGTATTGAAGTGTGGTATTTGTTCAATAATTGCTAGTCACTATATTCTATTATTTGTAGTAATTAACTAATTGATTAAAAGTATCAACTGTGATTTTTAATAATTTTCTATTTAGAAACTTAGACAAATATAGATAATTTATATCTATTCAAACTCAAGATAACAAAAACAAAATATAACAACTTTGAATACCTCTTCAATTAACATTAATGTTAATAATTATAGTTATCAGAATCTTCTGAATTAAAAATAAATGATGCATAATGAAATAAAGTATTTATCTATATAAGATTTATATATATATATATATGCTTTATTATTGTGATCCTTATATACAGATTTTTATCTTTTGTAAATACTGTTATAATCGTTTTTATTGGTTAATTGATCCTTATATATAATTTATAGAATTTTTTGTTAAATAAGTAATAAATTATTAAAAGTTAGAAAAAGTTTTTTTAATACTTTAATTTATATACTTAGAATTAATGTATTAAAAATACAGTATTAAGGACTTTGGAGAGTTTTTATCTTTTGTTGAATAATAAATGAATAGAAATATATTTTTACTTTACAATCTTAAGTTCAGTATTATTCTGTAACATTGAAATCAAAAATTTAAATTGATATTTACAAAAGTGATTTTTTTCAAGTGTTAAATATTCATAAACTTTTTTTAATATTAAATTTATATCATTTTTACTTTATACTAATATCTATGCATTTCCAACATCAAAACTATCAGCTTACATTATATTAATAAAGTTCATAACACAATGATAAGGAAAGCTTTGTTATAAAATTTTATTTCTGACATCATCTTGTAAAACTGGTTTATTAAAAGTATAAATTTGAATAAAAAGAACTACAAACTGTTTTTAAAATATAATTAAATTTGAAACAATTAAAAATATTGATATAAATTTGTGTGATTAGAAAATATTATATATACAGTAGAGCGTTGTTTATCCGAAAGTCGGTTATCCGAAAGAATTCCAGTTAGCAATTTCAATTTTCAACGCGAGTGTTGAGTGTTGAAGTCAACAATTTGACGTCATCAACGACGTTCCAACTCGAGTACGAAGTGCTTAGTTCCCATAATTCCATTCTCAGCAAGATGGATTCCATTCAAATGTCTTACCAATTACCCACAATTCATTGGAAAGTAGCAGTCAACATATCTGTTGAGTGCTGAGTGTGTTGAGTCAGCGCTGACAACAGCGCTACCTCAACGTTGAAAAAAGGAACGAATTTTAACGAATGTTGAGATCAGCGCTGAGTCAGCGTTGAAAATTGGAATGTCCCGAAATTTAAATTTTCGCTAGTGCTGTGGCGCTGCAATCTTTGGCTATGTCTTGGGCTACTCAAATATTTTACGCTTTTGATACTAAATTAACTTCTGAAGTATAATTTTTTATAGTTTTTATATTTTTCAATGTATTTATTTTGTTTGTACAAAATAAAGAGATAATTTTTAACGATACTATAGCCACGATTATTATTTTAAAAAGTTTACGTTAGGCTTAACATCGACGAAAATTCAACGCAAAGCGACACGCAACGGAGAAAAATTTCAGGATCGGATAGGTTAATGTATTTTTTCGTACATAATCGGTTATCCGAAAAATAAGTTATCCGAACAACCCCAGTACCCAATTGATTCGGATAAATGAAGCTCTACTGTATTTTGAAATTTTAATTTAAAGAAAATTTTTATTTCTGTAAAATTTTTAACATTTCAAATGAAATTATTTAAAAATATTAATTTATACAAAATGAAAAGGTTGCAAATTTGCAAAATCTCTTGTATCCATTCAATAAGAATATATTTTATAATTTGTTACTTTTTTTTAACTACTCATATAACTTTCATATGTTAAATTTAATCACTGTTATTTTTTTAATTTTTAGATATTATCTACTTAATTTATTATAATATATTTGGTATATTTATAGATTGGGTCACTTAATTTCTGACAAAAGCTTCATGATCAAAATAGAGAAACTCATTATAAAAATATATTTATTTAAATATATAATGCTGTAGATGTCTGAATGTAAAACGTTTAATTGTCAATTATTAAATTTTCTAATTTCAAAAACTCATTTATGTAACATTCTCTAAGGCCAACAGAAACAATTGTTCACGTTGATAAATACAAGAATTGCTTTCATACAAATAAAATATTTTATTAAATGTAGCACTAATGCAGTTTGAATGTACAAAACATCTCAAACATTGACATCAAAGCATTGATCAATATCTGAAATCCTCCTTCATTCTACTGATATTTTATTGCAGTTGTTTCTAAACTTTTGTAATGCTTAGTTCCTTTAATCTGCTAATCTGCTGCCATTTGGTAGCAGCACTCCTATATGTATATATATACTGTGGTGTATATTTTTTATAGGGAGTAAACCCAAACTGGGTAGTACTCTTTCTTTCTAAGAATAATTGATGTATTGGTATTATAATTAAATAATGTGAACAAATAAATGAAATTATAGTCCTTAGGCAAAGGACAAATACTATATTTATGTTATATAAAATGTATGTAGTAGAATTATTCTCATATGCCATACTTGCTACAACTTTAATTGGTAAGAATAATTACAAAACAGTAGTACAAAAGTCTATAAAACTGTTTCTCTGTCTTTTTTTAAATCTATTAATAGAGAAAGAGTGTAATATAATTCTGAAAAACAAAAAAATAGAAAAAGGCTTGTATTTATTTAGAAAGTTCTAGTAAGAGGGATCTTAAGACACAATTTAGGCAGGCAAAAAAAGTGCTGCATGAATACTGCCAATGCATTTTTTAATAATTCACTAATAATTAAAATAATGATTATCTGCTCACTGTGCCCTTGACTAGTTAGGCAATGCCACTGGGTGCCATGGCACACAGTTTGGGAATCACTGCTTTGTGTATTTTCTTGTAAAGGCATTACCTTTGACGTGCTTTTTAAGGTGTAATATCCTTCTAGAGAATATTACCATATTTTTCTACAGCTACTACAAAGAGATTTTTTCATGTTCAGATTTGCTGTGATGGATTCCGGTTAGGCCATGCCCACAATAAAATGCAACGAAGAGTGTTAATAAATGGACCCCATATATATTCAAGCTAGCCATGAAAATTTCTGAAGATTGGATGGACTCCATCTATCAACCAGGAGCATTGATGGACAGATCCATCAGTGCTCCTGGTTGATGTCATTATTTGAAAAGCTGCTTTGTTGGAACTAGAGAAGTTGTACAAGAGAGTTTTGAAGTTAGAAAATTTACCATTGTAAAAGTTTATAAATGATAGAAAATATCCTTCTAGAAAGATATTTCTAATAATTCAATAGTTAAGAGGATCTAGAATCTACCATGAAGGATTTAGGTTCAAATTCATCTAGACCTTCATGATTTTTTAAAGATAATTTAACAACCCATTCTTTATTTATTTTAGCCAACTTATTACAGGTTTCAGGCATACCTCTGACACAAAATTGAAAATATTATATACCAGTATTAGTGCCTCACATAAAAATTCCAATTCAATCTAATCCAGGTAATTACAGTATAACAAATCCTCATAATTAATATTTTGCCAGCATGCAAGCAAGGCTTTTGTTTAAAAAATTATATGACTCATCTTATTTATTTACTATGTATTATTTATTTATTATGTATATATATATATATATATACACACAGTATATTGTATACAGGATATCTGTTAAATCATAGAAAATGATTCTAAAGGTTTATTCTCACAAGATTTTGATGCTTATTGTATTATCACATAAGACAATTCCTGCTTGACGTCAGTAATAATCTGTTCCTAAAAATCAGACTTTATTCAATAAAACCTGATCTATTTTTTATTATTTTAAACAGGAAAACTTGATATGTTAATCGTAAAATCAAAACTACCAACTAATTTTTGAAAATCTAACTAAAACACAATATAATGTCTATCTAAATATATAAAATTACTTGTCCTGACTGACTGACTGACTGGGTGATTCATCATCGCCCAGAGAGCAAACGGCTGAACCTAAAGAGGTGAAATTTGGTACACAGTTAGGGTACGTCATGAAAACGCACACTAAGAAGGGATTCTTCGAAATTCCCCCGTGGGGGGAGAGGGAGATGATTAAGGGTTAACCTGAAGAACGGCTTCTACTGTACTATTTTAGATGCGATTTTTTGTTTTCAACTACGTTTAGTCTTCATTGAGTACTTAGGTGTATTAAATTGATAACATTTCAGACATTGTTATAAATATTTTTATCTATTTCGATTTTTAAAATGTTCGAATCGTTTTAAATTCGAATTTGTTATTGCATATTGGTTCGATTGTAGAACGATTGTAAACGTTCCAGAAAATTGATCAAATTGAAAATAGTTCGTTTGATTCTTGACAATTCTCATCATTCTCAGTGGTAGGTGTTATATAACAATTACTATGGTTGTTGAAATACTGAATATAAATAAGGTTTGCTTGCAAAATCTGCGCGGGCAAAGCCACCGGTAAGAGCTTTCATGCTGTATAAAAGAGATCAAGTCATTCAGTTAATATAATTTATATTTTTCGTATTTACATAGAGATTTATTTTTCCTTAGGTTTGACAGAATATAGTAAATACAATATATTTCAAATTATGTAAAAAACATTAATATTGCATAATTCATCTAAATACTTGATCACACACACAACTTTTCGGTACAGAAAATAATCATTTAAGATTTTCAGCCTTCTTTTGTGAAGGATGATTTAAAGAAATCCTGTATATTCATATTTATACGTGTGTATCGTTAAAATATATAAAGTTTAGTTTAAGATATAACAAGATTAAATATGAAATAGGATATTGCAGATTAGGGCATTTAAGTGACGAGAAAAACTAAGTTCGTTCCAATGTAACTCCAATGAGCTAACTTGGCTACTATGAATCAATGTCTATACGGGAATCTCTATTTTAATAAAAATGAATTTATTAATATACAGTAGAACCTCGATTATCCGCCCCCCGATCAACCGACCCCTCGGTTAACCGACCGTCCTAGTCGGCAAATTTCAAATGTCCGCTAGTGATGTGGCGCTACAATAGCGACGATTATTATTTTAAAAAATTTTTGTTAGGCTTAACATCGATGAAAATTCAACGCAAAATAGGTTAATAGCGATATACTAATATACTAATTACATGGGATATAATAATATACTACACTAATAATGGATTTTTTCATACTTTTCGGTTATCCGACTTTTCAATTATCCGACCAACCCCAGTCCCCAATTAGGGCGGATAATCGAAGTTCTACTGTATAGCGATCATATTAAAGCAAGATTATTTCGCTTGGTTTATTTGTTTTTGTAATTTTACGGATATAAATTTGATGTGTAATGTTTTATTGTGTTAAATTAAAAATGTTTTTTTTAACCTAATAATGATTTTAATTCTTATTGTATGTGTGATTATTAATAAACGGGTGTTCTTTTCCTAGATGTTATAAAATTCACTTCAGTACTAGACGTACAGTACTTTCTATTGAATCTACCATCCAGTTGTTATAGACCGATTTGGAATTTCTGTAAATTAAAAAGATGTAATTTCAAATTGATATTAGCATTTGCATTGGTCATGTGCTGTGTTCAAGCAATGAACCTGTAAATGGAAAATCAGCATAACAAAACTTTCTCTAGTAATTAACTGGTGAATTTATTGTAAATTCACAAAAGAAACAAATATTAAATAACACAGATTCAAGGCTGTTCCATGGCGTTTGAAAAAAAAGATTGCGCAGAAAGTTTGGAATATTTTAAAAAGCGTTGCGCCAAAAAGAATTGCCGCGAGGTGGTGCTCTTGAATTCAAACATTGATGAGCTGGACTGAACCATATTAAGGAGTCCTTAAATCTGTGGCACCTCCCTAAAAACATCAAAATGCATTGTCGTCAGACTTAGGAGGCTGAAACTTTGAGGACAATCTTAATTAATTAGAAGTGGATTAGTTGCAAGATTTGATGACATCATACAAAGCAAATTAAATAAAAGGAGTTATTTTAAATAAAATAATTTCAGATACACTAAAATTCGAATGTATTTTAAGTTTAAAATCATGAATTTAAAATTTTAAATCCATACCGCTAAAATGATTATAATACAGATTAGAAAAAAAATACTTTATTTCTTTTTTCCCCTTATCTTTCCATGTTTCTGTAAACTTGGATTGTTTGTTTGTTGAGTTTGCTATTTTATTTTGTTCGGAAACTGATCAAAATTATATATAATATATTGTATCGGTCTGATACTTTGATTAAAATTCATTTAAATAATAATGTATGATACTGAATAAAGCTTAGCACACTTAAAACTTTGAACCTGGAAACAGAAATACAAGGAAATTGAAATAATAATGTAAAATTAAAAATAAATTACGAGATACACTTCCGTAGTGAATGTCGATCCGTAAATTCCCAGTAAAGATTGCTTCACTTTCATATTATTCTATATTGTAGTGCAGTTTTTTACGCACGCACTATGACTAAGTTTTGCTAAGTTATTTAAATAAATACATTCGTCATAATTACAGTAAAGAAAAATTTTAAAAAATCTAAATTATGCTCATGAATATTAAATAAATCAAACCGAATAAAATCTTTGTCCAATTATAAGAACGTCTTAACTCAAATGACAGTCTTCAAGATTATGTATAAAAATACAGATTAGCTCCTCTAAGAATTTTCTTGTTTGGATTTACAAATTTATCAGAATACATTTTCATCTCTGGCTTGTTTTCATACATCTTTTTGAATGTTACTTTATCCATAACTATATTCTCCTTTTAAAAATTTGCAATAAGCCATTTATCTACTTATTCATTACATTTTACTTTCCCGGCTATTATAACATAACACGGGAAAGTATCATCTCAAATTTTCACTTTCTTGCTACTTTCCTGATTGTTTTAATGTAACATGGGTTACATTCCCGACTTACTGTATAATAATGTAATCGTGTCACATTTGACCTTCCGGGTTTTCGGATCGTGATGTCTTGACATCTCTGAACCCAAAAAGTAAAACAAAAAAAAAAAACCTGATACCTGAAGTTTGTGTTTCCTGTAATATATCAGGGTGGGGTAATAATGAAGGAATGAAATTTGGCATGGTTGTTTATAAGTCACATTGATCCTGTTAAATTTTGGTGGTTAAAGGTCTAAAGGTTGAAGAGATGGGAAAATGGATGCCATATGTCGTATCTCGAAAGGGGTAGGACAATGATTTTACTCGTTATTAACATTTACAATTCTTTTATAAAATTCATCGTTACCCCAAAATTAGGCTTTTTGCCATTTTATTATAATTTTTTTATGATAAAATCTCATAACAGATAGTATAAATAAAATTGTGTGGCACCATAATTAATAATACGCTCCTTAAAAACAAAATCGCAACACCACGAAGGAATGCGCGTACCACATGCACATTGCAGCACCGGTAGAGGTGACAGATATGCAACAGACACCTGTTTATTCAATAATAAATACGGTTCCCAAGGGCAGCCATACGGCGAGGCATACTATCAATGAGGCGATTAATGGTTGCCTTGCCAAGCTGCATCCACTATGGCGCCAAATTTAAATTTCGATATTCTTACTTCATTGATGAGTTACGAGAGATTGATTTGGGGCCCAGGCAATTGCCCTTTTTGTCAATAGGACAATGTCATCGCATATGAAATATTTCGTGGAAACTCGTAATCGAAAGTACAAAGCAAGGGAATTAGAAAAATAACTAAAAATGACATAAAAGTTGCACTTTAAAACTGGATTTTGAACATAAGGCTATCTGCCCTAATTACTATACTTGATCTAAACGATCCATCTGCTAGCAAATAAAAATTATATCAATAAAATTCGGGCTTTATTAATAACTAATGATCAATGAAATAAAAAAAATGAAAATTCAATTTTTAAAAATATTATTTGAGTTTCTTTAAATTTTTTGAAAAATTTTCCTGTGTAAACTAAAATGTTTGAAAAATATTGATCAGAAGTTAAACAAACTCTCAGATATATTAAAACAGTGCCAGAGATTCATGAATTTATTATAATTCATACAAATTGTGAATTAATTTACAACTGACTTTTCTTGCAATTATAAATTAAAATTCATCATATCTTCATCTAATGTTATAAAAGAAAATTTCATCTATTATTTAATATCAAACTATATTTTATGATTTACTGCATAATGATAATGAAAAATAAAAAATCAAAATGAAATTTATAAATATTTTATGCAAAATCTATTAAAATATATACATACAAAAAAAGGAAAAAATATTTTAGGAAAATTTGATGTAAGATCAACTAAAATATATGGCAATATTACAATTATAAAATCATTAATAAATCCATTTAACATTCTAATAATTTTATATTTTGAAAAATTTTATTTCTTATAACATATAACTGCTTCTAATTCTTTTACGGTATGGCTTATTCTTTTAACAATAGAATACCATTGTAATAAAAAACCCCAGTATAAAATATTACAATTTGGCAATATGTTAAATCATAACACAAAAGTTAATAATTGAAAAATTGTCAACTCGATTCATTCAATATGTCAAAGTGATTTAAGAAAATTTTCTTATTTTCAGTTTGAAATTCTTAACAATTTTACCTTTACAGTTTTACAACACTTAACAAAAAAATTAAAATTAATATTTCAACATTTTATTTGGAATACTTTTGGAACATGTCAGATAGGGGCACAACATTTATTACATTACACTTTATAACAATTCTAAAATATTTACATTAACGAGCCCTCTAATATCTGACAGTTTTAGCTCAAAGTTTAAAACTTGTCCTCTCAAAAATTTTCAAAAAATTCATATTTATAAATTAAGAAAAACAATCAATAGTGTACAGAAATTTAACATATTTGGCAATTACTAATATGATAATTTTATAAAAAAACCTACAAATTACAACTTAAAATTGCATGACTAGACCTTCATATCATCTACAATAATTTAATGATTCCAATTACATAAATTTTTAATATATGTGAATTTACAAACTTCACATAACCCTGAATACTAACTTATATTGTAAAAAAACTAAATTTATACATTCATGTTTAGGAATTTAAGTATATGAAGAAGAAAGTAAAATCATTCAGAGCACCTTTATTTCTTTGTGAACATGAAAATTCTTTCTACTGATAATAAAAAAATTACACATGTATCAATAAATTTGTACAGATTGTAGTCTGAATACAATTACTATAAACAGCAGCTTTAGTTCATAAAAAAATCTAACAACATTACCATGATGCATAATGAAAATCAAACAACTGATATCAAAATATCTGATTTTTAATCAATCATTCCACATATTAGAATGGAGTATATAAATGTCAAGATGACACTATTGGCATAATTAAAACTCTCTGTACAAATTGTAACTGAGACATTAGTCTCATTCTTTGATTAGCCACTATATGCTGCATATATATATATATATATATTTGTATATATTATTAATGATGGATATGTTAGTTTTTCGGGACCCATGTTGGTCATATTTAATAAAACAAATAAATGCTTTATCTATAAAGGAAAAAAATCATTCAATAAAAAGAATGGACCACTGCTGATTGGGAGATTTTCTGTCACATTTCTCTGCCATCACACCTGTACTGTGGTCTGTACTATCTAAACACAAATTGTATGCTAAATGCTTTAGAAGGTGTTCATTTTTCATCCAATGCCATTTCTGAAAAAAGAAATAATATAATTTTCAATATCATTATGATTATATAGATTATTGTAAACAGTGATTTATCTTTTTACTGATTGATTTAATAATAATTAGTTTTTAACAAGAAACAAATTAATATTAAATCAATTATAACGATTTTCATTCAGAAACCTGATTTAAAAAAGTAGAAATTTTATTTCTTTCAGAACCAGTTTATTTTCTAATCACTTCAATATATAATTTTCTACTATAATAGAAATATAGAATATTTTTAATATTACATTTTCTCTAAAATTTAGTACATTCACATATAAACAATAAACTATGATTTATAATTAAGGAATGCTTTCCTTCACTAATTTTTAATTACAGTAGAGCGTCAATTATCTAGATCAATTGGGGACTGGGGTTGTTCGGGGAAAAAAAATCAATATTTCGGATAACTGATTATGTACGAAAAATATATTAACCTATCCCATGTTGAAATTTTTCTCGTTGCGTGTCGCTTTGCGTTGAATTTTTGTCGATGTTAAGCCTAACGAAGACTATTGTATCGTTAAAAATTATTTTTTTATTTTGTACAAACAAAATATTGAAAAATATAAAAACAATAAAAAATTATACTTTAGAAGTTAATTTAGTATCAAAAACGTAAAATATTTGAGTAGCCCAGACATAGCCAAAGATTGCAGTGCCACAGCACTGGCAAAAATTTAAATATGCAGACTGGAATTCTTTTGGATAATTAACTTTCAGATAATCGACACTCTACTGTAATTGTAAATTTCTACTTGTATTACTGTTTCACTTTAGAACCTAGCAATTATATATATATATCATGAAAGTTGCTCCTTCTGTACTTAGTTTTTTAATGTACATGTATATTCTTGAATAGTAGTTTTTAAAACATTTTGATTATTAAGTAAATTAATCATTATCTCTATTTATCAACAGTTGCATCAGAATCCCCTAATTCAATGGTTCCCAACTAGTGGTACGTGTACTCCTGGGGGTACGTGAAATTGCGTGAGGAGGTACGCGCAGCAATCTAAAATTGGTCAATTTAAAATTTAAATGCATGAGATGAAGCAATCAAAAAAATAATGGGTCGACCACCAAAAATTCGGCAATTTACATGATGTCGAATGCACAAATTCATTTATTTATAACAAAATATTTTCGAAATTTCATCAAAAAATGCATTTGTGACAATACCTAAATGAAATTTTTATGCAAGAAACAAAAATTGTATAATTAACATTATCATGTCAGCAAAGCAGCAATAAAATATTTACTACCATTTTGCACAACATACCTCTGCAAGAGCATATTTTCGGCCATGACAAACATGAAAACTAAACATCCCCGCCTTCAACTTGAAGATGACTTAAGACTGAAGCTGATCAAAAAGCAACCAGATTTTACAAAGTTTGCAAAGAAAATTGTGTAC